GCACCAGGAAACAAGAGCCTAGAGCAGGCTGCAGGAGAGTTTGAAAGCAATACAAGCCCCGTGGGAAATAATTTCCTTCATTTACTCGTTATGTGGAGACTGACCTACCCGGGCCTCATGACTGCCCTGCCCTTGGCCCATCTCATTGCCATCATGTCTAGTTCTTGGAAGGTGGACAAGGCTAGGGAAAGAAGGTGGACCTTTGCATGTATTTTATTTGAATAAGTGATTCATGCACACAGTAAAAATTTGAAGCCGCCAGAGGATATTCAGTGTAAACTGAATTTTTCTTCCACCCCTACTCTCCCGTGCCTACAGCTCTTACCAGAGACCTTCACTGTGCTTAGTTTCCTGTGAAAGGAAGGAAATCCTAAAATCAAATGACTGCTCCCTGGGAGTTGGTTCAGATGGGCAACAGACAGAAACAGAGCAAGCCAGCCTGTAAGAGCTGGTGGGCATCAGGAGACTCAGGCGCCCCTCAGAAGTGGGGTTTCTAAATGGGGCTCAGCTTCCCCCGGGTGACTGTGTGGATAGGTCATTGTCTGCCATGTGCATCTGCCTTGGGCTGCTTCTCTCGGCTGTGAGTGTGAGCCCCAGAAAACAGTCCCTTTGGGCTTCTTCTAAGCCTTTCATGTGCCTTTCTTCTATGCCCCCACCCTCTCCTTGTTGTTATGGAGGGAAGAGACCAGTTCAGACAGGGAGAGGCCCTGTGCACGATCTACACCGGGGAATAACAGAGATTAACATCAGAGATCTTCCCCACCCCCTGCCGCATCCTCTCTTCCTTTTCCTTCCTTTCCTTTTGCTTTCATGCCTCTTCCCCACCCCCAAGTGCACACTCGACAGACACCATAAGCAGTGCCTGGGCTTCCTATGGATTTATGGTTTCCAGTTATTCATCTTATTATCTTAGTGGCCTTGCCAGGTAAAATATTAAGGCATCTCTGCCATTATAACCTTTTATTCCATGATCTCATTGGCAGCTGGTGTTGCCATGACAACCAGGCTGGAGAACTGGTACTGAGCTTCCCTGAAAGATGATGTGAACACTGGTGTGTGTGTGTGTGTGTGTGTGTGTGTGTGTGTGTGTGTGTGTGTATCTGTTGTGCGAAAGCAATGGATGGATTTCTTAGTCCACACCTTCTGCTTCTCCTTCAATTTGGTCAAAATTAGCTCCAGGGCTCTAAATCAATGGGAAGGAAACTTTGGAGGATGATTTCTTTGTTTGGTTTTTGAGTAGTAAATTGGAACCAGAGACACATAAGAAATATTTAGACACCTTCTACCCATGTGAAATGAAGCAACGGAACCCATTTGATGTGGCTCCTTTGGCTCACCCGGCATAGCTCAGCAGTTGAGTGCTGACCTGTGAACCGGGAGGTCCTGGTTTGATTCCAGGTCAGAGCACATGCTTGGGTTGTGGGCTTAATCCCCAGTGCAGGGAGTGCAGGAGGCAGCCGATCAATGGTTTTCTCTCATCATTGATGTTTCTTTCTCTCTATCCCTCTCCTTTCTTCTCTGAAATCAATAAATATATACATATTTTAAAAAGCTCCTTGGGCCGAAACTGGTTTGGTTCAGTAGTAGAGTGTCGGTCTGCAGACTGAAGGGTCCCAGGTTCGATTCCGGTCAGGGGCATGTATGTTGGTTGTGGGCACATCCCGGTAGGGGGTATGCAGGAGGCAGCTGGTCAATGTTTCTCTCTCATCGATGTTTCTAGCTCTCTCTCTCTCCTTTCCTCTCTGTAAAAAAACCAATAAAATATGTTTTTTTTTTAAAAAGTTCCTTGGGCCTAACTTATTTAAACATCTTGATAATTATCTTATTAGACATAAAAAGTCAGAGCTGGGAGGGGCAGCAAGTGTCATCTATCTGATCCCCTTTTTATTTAGATGAGAAAACTGAGGCCCAGCTAGACTAAGTGACTTGCTCCTACGCAGTGTGGCTCAGTGGGTAAGGGTGTGGGTTCTGGAATCATCCTGCCTGGCTCAAATCCTGGCTCCATCATGTCTTTACTGTGACCTCAGCCAAGTGACTTGCCCCTCTAAGTCTGTTTGCTCATCTGTAAAATGGGGATAATATTGAGAACAACCTTACTAGGTCATTGTAAGGATTAAGTGAGATAATCCATAATGGTTGGCACATATTAAACCCTCAATAAATTTCATCACTATTATCCTGGGTCTCACTGGGATCAGTGGTAGAAATAGGAATAAAATCCAGCTCAGCTAGCTCCTACTTAAACTAGAGCCATTAATCCCATCATGTCCTTTGTTGTTGTTTTTGTTGTTTTGTTTGTTTGTTTGTTTGCATCATCCAGGGGAGATGGAAACCCCTTCTGAGATGGGGGCTGTCTTATCTTAAAATCTCTATGGAGTGTGTCTAATGCCTACACTAGGTACCCGGTGGGTATCTGTTGATCTGAGGATAAACATCACATACCGGTACTTCCTGCGCTCCTGGAACACAGAGTCCACAGTGCACAACGGCACGGCTGTAGTGGAGGAGGAGAAAGGAAGGACAAGCAAACGTAAGGAGGTGAGCATTTGTGATCACCTCGTGTGACACCAGACATTTGCTAAAGTCTTCACAAACGTGTCTAACCTCACACCACCCCCATGAGCCTGTTCCCTCTCATTCTACAGGGAAGAAAGCTAAGCCTGAGCGGCTCTGCAGCATGTCTGGGTTCACATGGCAGGCTGAGAGTTGGGGTTCTGCCCTACTCTTACCTCAGGGTGCTGGGGATGCTTCAACAGACTCTGCTTCAGAATCGTTTCTCAGTGCCACTGTGAGCCCAAAGCTTATCTCTGAGGGGACAAGAGGGGTTCAGAACACCCTCTCCATCTCTCGAACAAAGCAGAGCACAAAGCACATTTGTGTAATATTATCCCAACCAAACTGACAGGCTTTGAAAAGCACACCAGGCTGGTGGTTTGCAGAATGCCACTCGTTTATACTTCCTTTCATCGCTCTGTCAGGAAGAAGAGCAATGCCATGGAACCTCACAGTGCTCTTCAGAGGAGCAGCTGTCCTGGGAAATTTATTTCAAGAGGTGTACTAGAGAAAAAACAGGTCCACTTGGGAGGAGGGGCCATGATCCTATAGCCATGGAAATGAAGCCGTTCCATCTGGTCTGTGCACATCTTATGTAAGAGTGGCTGTCTCTGTCGAGTTGGGTAAACCAGAACAAAATTTAATGGAGCTGTAGGTTGGCACAGCAACCATCCTTTGTCTTTTTTTTTTAAACTTATGCTGTATGTTTATTTGGATTTTGAGGAGATAAAGGGGCCTCCCCAGGACCCCATGGAGCTGCAGAACTGGTGGCAAACCTCTACTTTGGAGGCAAATTTGCCTCCAGGTGGGAGACTCAGTGTAGCCTCTTGCTAGTTCCCAACAAGACTCTTCGCACTTGATGAGTCACTGGGGGCACCACGTGAAATAAGGAATGCAGGACCTTAAACAATGGTAGTGGTTACAATAACCCCTATGATAAACCCATTAGATGGAGAAATCTTTTATGTATCAATAAGCCTCATCTTTTTATTCCACATCATCTCAAACTCTAGGAGGTGTGTGGCGGTGCCGTCCTGTGTCCCAGCCATGCCCACCAGGCGGGGTTCCCAGGACACTCAGGCGCGGGTCTGTACCCGGTGCCCGGTGACCGCGGACAGAGGAGGCCGCAGCGGGGCGGAGGGAGCGCTCTGCGGGCCGGGCTCCGAGGCCCCGCACTCCCTCCGGAGACCAGCCGGGCCGCGGGCCTCACGGAACAGGGTGACGTCACCCCGGCAGCTGGGGGAGGGGTGCGGGGGGGGCACCCCGTGCGCGGACTGCGGGGCTCGGTGCAGCGCCCCCACCCGTGCCTCCGCCGCGGCGCCGGGTTAGCCCAGTGGCCCCGCGGGCGGAGGGGCGGGCGGCGCGCTCGCTGCGGCGGGACCGGGGCTGCCGGCGGCCGCGGGGGGAGCAGGGGTGGGGACAGGGGCATTGTCCGCGGGGGGAGCCGGGGGCGCTGTCCGCGCGGCTGCGGGAGCCGGGCCCGGCCAGACGGGGGTGTTTTCTCATCAGTAAAACGGGGCTTTGGACTCCGACCTTCGCTCCGGCGGGGGCCTCGGGCGGCGGGGGCCTCCGGGCGGCGGGGGCCTCCGGGCGGCGGGGGCCTCGGGCGGCGGGGCTCGGGCGCTGGCTGGGCGGTCTCCCGCGGGTCCCCCTCGCGGCGCCCGGAGCCCCCGCCTCCTGTGGTGTCAGCGGGGGCAGTTCCCGGGCGCAGGGTTTATCTGGGGATTAGCCAGGCTTACCCCGGTTCTCAACGCCGTGCGAACGCTGAGTCACCAGGGGGCCGTGTTCCTGCCTCTCCTAGCGGGGCTGACTCGGTTGGTCCGCACCGGGCCCAGACTGACTCAAAAAAAAAAAAAATAATAATAATAAATTAAACCCGCGGGGCCATTCTCACCCGCAGCCCAGCCCGTTCCTCTGAGAGACGCCCCTGCACTGAGGTTTTGTCAGTTCCCGAGGCGGCGTGGGCAAAAGTCCGCCTAGAGCAGCAGCCGCCAAACTTTGGACCCCCCAGACCACTGAATTCATAATTTTAAATCCCACAGACCACTAATATGATTTTTTAAAAGATAAGTACATTTGTAAAATAATGATAAAAAACTCCCATCTTATTAATATAAAATGCCCCGATTTAATGTAACATTATAAATACTTATTTAATCATAAAATCTTCAAAGGTGGTTTAATTGTAACAAATTTACTAAGTAAATTTAATTTTTACGAAATAATTGAACCTTATTTAAGTATTACATTTTTTTAGAGTGTAATATTTGCTTCTGTTTCCTTAAAATACGTTTATGGATTTTTGCTCCAGTGACATTATTGCAAGACAGAGAGCTGTATTTATTTCAAGCCATGACCAGTACCGAGTTTTAATTGCTGTGACAGATGAAAATGTTTTTCGCACAAATATGTTGTTGAAATTGAATAAAAATTTTCATTGCTTTTTTACTCAGCAATGGGTATTCAGTTTTAATGGAGATCCGAAAATGAGGTGTTGATAAGGATGACTGGAATTTAGCTTTGAGACTGTCGTTGGATGATAGACCGATGAGGCTTTCTTTTTCATTCATGCTTAAATTGCTGTCTTCAATGTTTGCTGCAAATGGATCTATTATCCATATTGCCATGTCTGGGATCTTCTTTCTTTGGGTAATAATGACCAGATGATTCTGTGAATGATTGTAAGTGCTGTTGAACAATGATTACCACCTACTGGTTTGAAGGGGAAAATAAGACATTTGTGGGGCTATCTATTTGAAACGGTGCCAGTGACCTGCCTTCTAACATACACACTTGGGTGCCCATAAACTTTATTCTTATCAAATTCCCTTCTTATTTGTGATGCCTGCCCTGCCTTGCAGGGAATACTCCCATTTTACAGAGACCATAAACCATTGAACCATATACAATCCCCAGAGAGGCTGGTGCCAGTGCTGGCAGACCTCTGGGTGTGGTCTCACTCCCCATCCCAACTCATGGGGTTGGTTTGTGTGTGTGTGGCAGGGGGGGGGGGGGGGGGGAGAGGGGAGGTTTGCAAAGCCCACAGAGGGTCTGGAAGCCTGACCCATATTTGGGGGACAAAGGAACTAAAGGGTGTAAAAGGAAATCTTTGTCCATATCCATCACTCAGGATTTGGAGACTCACTCCCCGGAGTCATGACACTAGTGCAATCTGCAATAAAGGCTACTTTTCTGAATATTCTGAGTTGCAGCTGATTAATTCTCCCTCACCGCCTGGCAGCTTATCTGCAACAGGTTGACATCCTTCTTTCTCATATATTCATAAAAGTTTGAAAACATTTGCAGATCTTCTTCAGCCAACCGCGTTTGCCACAGTAACGTTTTCTTTTGAAAAGCATCCATTTGCCTTGTAGTGTGAACGTGTCCTTAAGTTGTCCTTGCGAGGATATGTTTAATTCATTTATTATCGAAAAAATACCCCCCAGGCATGCAAACTTGGCTAACCACTCATCGTTCTTGTAGTTTCGGATTACTTTGCTGCTGGAAAAACATTTTGACTTCTTCACGCAGGGTGAACCGTTGGGTCAGTATCTTGCCCCTCAACAGTCATCTCAGAGTGAGAAGGTGAGTGTATTGGGGACCCATTTCTTCGCCAAGTGCCTCCAGTAATCGAGAATTGAGCACTTTGTGTCCAATTTTATTTATAATTTTAATAACATCTGATAATACTTCATGTAGTTCTGGGGATTTTTTTTCACCATAAGTTGCTCAAGATGTGTAATGCAGTGTGTAGACAAAATGGGTGAACAACATTTTTCACCTTTGCAACAATTCCTGAAAGATGTCCAATCATGTTGCGGCACCGTCTGTACATATCCCAATCCCAATACATTTTCCCAGTCAATTCTGTGTTCCAGGAAATAACTATTAACTGCTTCAAAAACCTCAGAGCTAGTTGTTCCACCAGCAAGTTGAACGAACAAAGAAGTTCTTCCTGTAACTCTCCTTCACACTCACAAAACAAAGAAGTGCCTTGTTACCTACGCCCATTGATTCATCAATTGAATTGAAAAACATGGTGAATTTTCCACCATTTTTATAACTTGATTTTTAGTATCTTCAGCCATGTCTTCAGTTCTGTGTTTGACAGTGTTAGGGGGCATAGGAATTGCTTTCAGTTTCTGGCAGCCTGCTCTCCCAAAACCTCTTCACAGGCTTGTAACATGCAAGATTTAATTAATTCTTCTCCATTTGTGTACGGCTTTTTATTATTTGTGATCTGAAGTGCTATCAGATAAGAAGCCTTTAATAAGGATTTATCTCCAACAGTCATTTTTACTAGAGCTATTACTTGCCTTTGCATATTTTCACGTGTTCTTTGAAAATATTCAAGTGTTGTTGTATTTTTAGCTAAACCCAGGCGTTTTGATTACAAGTGTCTTTCGAGTTTTGAAGGTTTCATGGCATCTTTGGATAAACTCTCAGAACACACACCACAAAGCGGCCGTGGATCCAGCTCACTACCAGGTTCTTGAACAAATCCAAATTTCAAGTAGTTCGAATCATATTTTATTGATATTTTCAGTTTTTCTTCTCTCTGCCTCCAGTTCGAACGTTCTTCCTAATGGTGCCTGACGAGGGGAGGGAGACTGATTCATGGATCAGCTCACAGCTAAATGAAGAACACATATTGCTATTGTTACTATTGTCAGTAATTACATTATCTTTTGTATTACTAAAGAAATGCAAAATATTCCTTTGCTTTTTTTTCACTCATTATGGGTTTCATTCGAATCTAAAACCAAAAAAAAAAAAAGTTAGTTATTAAAGTCACACTATTAGATGCCATTAAATGTAAGCGTTAAAGAAAATACACAGTTACATACCATACACAAATAAAATAAAACAACCGGATGAGAATCGTCAATCACGGAGCCAGTGCCTGCTGTAATGGTCAGAACAATACTGAAGCCACTTGCACCTCTCTTGTTCCCTCTTTCTAGTTATTAGAAAGGGGAATTCATGAAATATTACTCTACTCCAGTACATTTTGTGAATTTAGTGCAATGTAAAGGAAAATTGTCAGTCAGAATATAAGAATTTTGTAGAAATTTTTGCTTTATTATTATTTATTAGGATTAATAAAACAAAAAAAATGCAAATAATGTCTAAATTTTTCTACGGACCACCAAAATTTTCTCACCTACCACCAGTGGTCCGCAGACCACCCCTTGGCGACCGCTGACCTATAGGACTCAGGCTCATTCCCACCCAGGCAGGCAGCTGCTGCTGCTTCCTTCTCTTCACCCCACCCCACAGGCTCATGGGAAAAGTGCAGACCCTCCCAGGGGCCAGTGCTGCAGAGAAGGGTGGGAAGTGTGGCTGTCCACCGGACTCACTGAACTTAGGAGAATACTCTGGCAGCCTCTTTCTTTCAAAGGGATGTCAGTGGCCACAGTTTGCTGGGTCTTTTCCATGTTGTGCAGAATGAAGCAGAAGAACATGAATCGGCTTCCTTTCTGGGGAAGAAAACGCGCTTCAGAAAGCCCCCATTTCTTTCCTGGAGGTGGAGGGTGGCGCATGTGGGTGGGTCTCCCAGAGGCGGTGCGTTTGGTGAACTGGAGGGAGAGATAACACCTTACTCCGATTTCAGTGTGAGAGTCTGTAGTTTGGGTTTACAATGATTTGTTTTGTGTTTTTCCTTGGAACTTTCATAAAACTTCCCTATAGCAGGCCTCTAGGCAGCAGGATCTAGACAGCCTCCTAAACTTCCCCACCTCAGGATCACTGGGTGCTTGCCTCCTTGTGGTTCCTGGTGTCAGAGGTTGGGGAAACACTAAGTACAGTGGTTGCTTAGTTTGGATCAAAATCACCTGGAGGGCATCGGAAACCAAGATTGCTGGTCCCCCTGCCCCGGGTGTCTGGCCAGAGAGAACAATTAGATCTGACACTTGTCTGGGGACTCCTGTGCGACACCGCTGGTGCATAGAAGGCACCCCAGGCTGCATGTGGAACACCTCTTTCCACTTTACCATCTACCATCTTGTGACCTTAGGCATTTGAAAATTGGGGACTGATACAAAGTTTTTAAAGATAAAATGCTTCCCAGAAGAGAGAACAGGAGGATACAAAGAAGCTAGGTGTTATTGTTCACAACAGATTGGACCTGAAAGGAATCCTTGTGTTGAAGGCAAACAACAGAGGGAGAGTACGACACGTCCTGCAGGCCAGCCTGGCACCTTGCACTTGGCAGTGGCTCCCAGCCGGGAGTGTGAGGGAGAGGTTTAGCTCACAGGAGCTCGCTCAGCAAACCTTAGTCTCTACTAGGGCCAATTGGTGGCCCAGAGGTTCCGGTCTCCTCCGGCTGGTTGTCACAGAGAAAACCTCTCAGCTTCCTGCCCCGGAGGAGGAGGACCTGCAGGGCCAGGCTCCTGAGTGTTCTCTGGGTCCTGCTTCTCCAGCCCATCCTGGTTGGGGAGCTCTCACTTGCTCACACTGGGCCTTCTCCTGGAGAGAGACTCCTTCTGGAAGGTCTTGGCTCTTTCTAAAGAATTTCTTGCCTCTGCAAAAAATCCTTTCACAGTGATCCTGGGTCCCCCACTTGTAAGGGGTAACAAAGTTCCTAATGATTTGAAGGGCTGAGGGACCAAATAAAGAGCCTAATTTTGAACAGGGAAGATATTTAATGGCATCCTATGTAATAAAGAGGGAATATGCAAATTGACTGTCACACTATCACAAAGATGGAGGCACCCATAGCCACAAGATGGCAGTGCACAGTTCCCTCAGCCCCACCTGAGTCCCCCAGTCCTTTCATCCCTGCCCTGGGGGGGAGGGGTATCGGGGGGGTAGGGTGGCAGGTGCACAGTGTGGCCAGACCCGCCCTCAGTCCCCCAGCTGCCTAAGGCCAGCCCGAGGTGCAGGCAAGCCTCAGATGGCGGCTGCTCAGCCGATGCCCAAGGCTCAGGCAAGCCTTGGATGGTGGCTGCCCAGCCACCCAGGGCCACCAGAGGCTCAGGTAACTGAGGCTTGCGCTGCTGGCAGTGGCAGTAGCAGAGGTGTGATGGGGGCATTACCTTCCCCTGATCATCAGGTCGCCTCTTGCCCCTGAGGGCTTCCAGGCTGTGAGAAGGGACAGGCCTGGCTGAGGGACCCCCCACCATGCATGAATTTTCATGCACTGGGCTTCTAGTCCTACATAATAAAACCTTAATATGCAAATTGACCGAACAGTGGAATGATCCACAGAGGAAGTGCTGCTCAGCCAGAAGCCAGCTCACAGCTGTGCTAATGAACAGCAAGCCTAGTGGTAAGGAACAGTGAGCAGGTGGACGTTAAGGAGGGAGATCAGGCCCTGGGGATCGGCCTAAGCTGGCAGTTGGACATCCCCTGGGGGATCCCAGACTGTGAATTTCATGCACTGGGCCTCTAGTTATTAATAATACTAACAATAATAGCAACTGCTAATTGTTGAGCTTTTTTTTTTTAATACATTTTATTGATTTTTTACAGAGAGGATGGGAGAGAGATAGAGAGCTAGAAACGTCGATGAGAGAGAAACATCAACCAGCTGCCTCTTGCACACTCCCTACCGGGGATGTGCCCACAACCAATGTACATGCCCTTGACCGGAATTGAACCCGGGACCCTTCAGTCCGCAGACCGACGCTCTACCACTGAGCCAAACCGGTTTTGGCTAATTGTTGAGCTTTTAATTTATTCCAAGAGCAGTGATAAATGGCTTACACACATAAACTCATCTAGGCTGCCCAAGAAGTAGTTTATTATCCCCATTTTGCAGATGAGACAGGAGCTCAGAAATATGAGGCCAACACATGAGATTGCACAGCTAGTAAGAGGCACAGCTTTGATTAAAACTCATACTGCCCTGGACATGCAGTCCAATGGCTGAGCACCTGCCCATGTACAGAGTGGTTGCCTGTTTGGTTCCCAGTCAGAGCACATGATTGAGTTGCCAGCTCAATCCCCAGTAGGGGGCGTACAGGAGGCAGCTAGCAAGTCAATGTTCTATTCTTATATCCATGTTTCTCTCTCTCTCTCTCTTTCCTTCTCTCTTCCTACCTCTCTCTCTCTAAAATAAATAAGTAAATAAATAAATAAATAAAATAATAAAAGAAAGAAAAAGAAAAAGAAAAATCAATACAAAAATATTTAAAAAACACAAACCCATATTGTTCCATCCAAAGCCCTTATTAAAGATATTATTTTTAATTTCAAGTCAGCCTTTTCAGGAAGCTTTAGAATAGCCCAAAATCTTGCTTCCCCCACTAAGTGGGCCACTAACAGCAGAAGTAATGGCAGGGCGTTCTCTGAGCTGCCAGACAAATTACAGATGAATTACAAAATGTGAGACAGGAACATTCTCATTGGCCTCCTGACTGTG